CACCCCAAAGCCACAGAATATATATTCTTCTCAAATGCACATGGGACATTCTCAAAGATAGACCACATTTTGGGACATAGGCAAAGTCTCTTCAAATTCAAGAAGATAGAAATCATATCAAGCATCTTCTCAAACCATAATGGCATAAAACTGGAAATTAACTACAATAAAAATAATCCAAAGAAATCAAACACATGGAGACTAAACAGCATGCTATTAAACAAGGACTGGGTTACCAGAGAAATCAAGGAAGAAATTAAAAACATCCTGGAAACAAATGACAATGAAAACACAACAATCCAAAATCTATGGGACACAGCAAAAGCAGTTTTGAGAGGGAAGTTCATATCCTTACAAGCCTATTGCAAAAAAAAACTAGAAAAAAGTGTAACAAATGATCTAACTCTACAACTCAAAGAGTTAGAAAAAGAGCAACAAGAAAAGCCCAGTGTAAGTAGAAGGAAGGAAATAACAAAAATCAGAGCACAGATAAACAACATAGAGACCAAAGAAACAATACATAAGATCAACAAAACCAAGAGCTGGTTTGTTGAAAGGATAAACAAGATAGATGGACCTCTAGCCAGACTAACCAAGAAACAAAGAGAGAGGACCCAAATAAACAAAATCAGAAATGAAAGAGGTGAAATAACAACAGACCCCACCGAAATACAACGGATTGTTACAAAATACTATGAACAACTCTACTCCAACAAACTGAACAACCTGGAGGAAATGGACATATTCCTAGAAAAATATAATCTTCCAAAACTCAATCAGGAAGAATCTAAAAATCTCAATAAACCAGTGACTTGGGAAGAAATTGAAACAGTCATCCAAAAGCTTCCAGCAAACAAAAGCCCAGGGCCAGATGGCTTCACAGGAGAGTTTTACCAAACATTCAAGGAAGAACTAAAAACTATCCTCCTCAGACTATTCCAAAAAATCCAAGAGGAAGGAACACTTCCAAATTCCTTCTATGAAGCCAGCATCACCCTAATACCAAAACCAGATAAAGACAACTCAATGAAAGAGAATTACAGGCCAATATCCCTCATGAACATAGATGCCAAAATCCTCAACAAAATCCTAGCAAATCGACTCCAGAAGAACATCACAAAGATCATACACCACGACCAAGTAAGATTTATTCCAGGAATGCAAGGATGGTACAATATCCACAAATCAATAAACGTGATACATCACATAAACAAATTGAAAGATAAAAATCATATAGTCATATCAATTGATGCAGAAAAAGCATTCGATAAAATCCAACACCCTTTTCTGATAAAAACTCTTAACAAGGTGGGAGTACAAGGATCATACCTCAACATAATAGAAGCTATATATGATAAACCCACAGCCAACATTATACTCAATGGGCAAAAACTAAAACCATTCCCTCTAAGAACAGGAACAAGACAGGGATGCCCACTCTCGCCACTCCTGTTTGACATAGTACTGGAAGTACTAGCCATTGCAATTAGACAAGAGGAGGAAATAAAAGGCATCCAAATTGGAAAAGAAGAAGTAAAGTTATCCTTATTTGCAGATGACATGATATTGTACAGAAAAACCCAAAAGACTCCATTAAAAAACTAATTGACTTAATAAATGAATTTGGCAATGTAGCAGGATACAAAATTAATGCCAAGAAATCCATGGCTTTTCTATACACCAACAGAGAAACTGCAGAAACAGAGACTAAAAAAGCAATTCCATTTACCATTGCACCAAAAAAATTAAGATACCTAGGAATAAATTTAACTAAGGAAGTAAAGGACCTATATGCGGAAAACTACACGACACTGAAAAAAGAGATAGAGGAAGATGTAAGGAGATGGAAGAACATGCCATGTTCATGGATTGGTAGGATCAACATCATCAAAATGTCCATACTTCCTAAAGCAATCTATAGGTTCAACGCACTCCCCATTAAAATACCAATGACATATTTCACCGACCTAGAAAGAACTCTCCAAAAGTTCATTTGGAACAATAAAAGACCCCGAATAGCCACAGCAATCCTGAGAAAGAAGAGTAAAGTAGGAGGGATCTCAATACCAGACTTCAAACTATATTACAAAGCCACTGTTCTCAAAACAGCCTGGTACTAGCACAAGAACAGACATATAGATCAATGGAATCGAATCGAGAACCCAGATATCAACCCAAATCACTATGCTCAATTAATATTTGACAAAGGAGGCACGAATATACAATGGAGTCAAGATAGTTTCTTCAATAAATGGTGTTGGGAATATTGGACAGACACATGCAAAAGAATGAAACTAGATCATCAACTTACACCATTCACAAAAATAAACTCAAAATGGATACAGGACTTAAACATCAGACGGGAAACCATAAAAATACTAGAAGCATCCACAGGCAGCAAAATCTCAGACGTATGCCAAAAGAACTTCTTCACTGATAGTACCCCTAGGGCAATGGAAGCTAAAGAGAAAATAAACAAATGGGACTACATCAAAATAAAAAGCTTTTTTACAGCAAAAGAAACCATCAACAAAACAACCAGAAAGCCCATATTGTGGGAGAACATATTTGCAAACGATACCACTGATAAAGGTTTAATCTCCAACATCTACAAACAGCTTATACAACTAAATAAAAGGAAGATAAATAATCCAATTAAAAAATGGGCAATGGACCTAAATAGAACATTTTCAAAAGAAGACAGAAGGAAGGCCAAAAGGCACATGAAAACATGCTCAAAGTCACTAATTGTCCAAGAGATGCAAATCAAAACAACAATGCGGTACCATCTCACACCTGTCAGAATGGCCAACATCAACAAGTCAACAAACGACAAGTGTTGGCGAGGTTGCGGAGAAAAAGGAACCCTCGTGCTCTGCTGGTGGGAATGCAGACTGGTGCAACCACTGTGGAGAACAGTGTGGAGTTTCCTCAAAAAACTGAAAATGGAACTCCCATTTGACCCAGTAATCCCACTTCTAGGAATATATCCCAAGAAACTAGAAACACCAATCAGAAAGGATATATGCACCCCTATGTTCTTAGCAGCACAATCTACAATAGCCAGAATTTGGAAACAGCCTAAGTGTCCGTCAGCAGATGATTGGATCCAAAAACTATGGTACATCTACACAATGGAATACTATGCTGCCATAAAAAAGAAGGAATTCTCATCATTTGCAGCAACCTGGATGGAATTGGAGAACATCATGCTGAGTGAAATAAGCCAATCAATGAAAGAGAAACACCACTTGACCTCACTCATTTGTGGATAATAAAGAGCATTATAAACTGATGAACCAAAAGATAGATATAGAGACAGTATATCAACAAGTAGACTGTCAAATTACAGTGGGGAGGGGAGGAAGATCTGGGGGAGATAATAGATCAACCGAAGGACTTTTATACATGCATATAAGTACAACCAATGGACACAAAACTCTGGGGAGGGAGGGGATGTGTGGGAGGAAGGGAAGAGGGCAAAAAAAATCAATAAAATATATTAAAAAATAATAATAAAATAAATAAATAAAATAAATGCGCTCTCTCAAAAAAAAAAAAGTTTATTTGAGCATACATCAATTGGAATTGTCATCATCAAACCAGATAGAAGTGGTTGAAATGCTTCATTGACCAGAGCTGGGGAGAGGCTTTTATAGAGAAAAGTAGAATCAGGCAAGGAAATTATTGATTGTCCATAACTTAAAGCTAGCTGGCTGCTTGTGGTTGGTTGTCCTTAGGTTTTGATTTTGTAACCTTAAGGCTCCGACAGGCTTAGATTTTGGTGGTTTATGTAGGCCACCACAGCCTTAGAGCTACTCCAGGCTAATGGCTGCCTTGTTTAATTGATTTAATACCAGCAATGGGCAAAGGCTGGGAATCAGACAAGCGAGATCTGAGGCACCCCAGCTTTCCCCACAGTTTATAAAAACTGGCCAAACACAAGTTTTATCTTAAATCTGTCCCAGATCACATGCAACTCAAAGTACATTGGCCTTCTGCTTATTATTAAAAACCAATCAGTTAATGGTATACTATATATTATCAGATGTTGAACAACAATAATGACCACCTCAGTTTCTAGGTGTGCAGGGCATCATGGCAGATCCATGGGTTTCTTAAACAGCAAGCCAACTTCCATCTCCTAGCAAAAGGGATCCAAAAAAAGAAACTCTTGTGAAAACCCATCTATGGGTCAGTCCTAGTTAACATCATGGACTTGGGATAGAACAATCAAGTTTACAAAATAAAAAGGCAGCTTGCAATGTCATTACTTTGGAAGAATCTTTAAACACAGAATTGTCCACTATAGTAACATGCCAGGTGCCACACTGCTTTCTGAAGACAGTCATTCTTCACATTGAATAAATAAGCAACCGCTAGAAAGTTGGTCATTCCTAGAACTCAGAAAGCCTGTTAAGCCCTTAAAGGATGAAAGGATGAAAGAATTTTTACTTTCTAAAGCCATCTCCACATTTGGCAAAAGAGCATAATTTTGCCCCTGGCCAGGTAGGTCAGTTGGTTAGAGCATCATCCCAATAAGCCAAAGTTGCAGTTTTTGCTAGTCAGATGTTTCTCTACCTACCTACCTACCTACCCCTACCTACCTACCCCTACCTACCTACCTACCCCTACCTACCTACCTACCTACCCCTACCTACCTACCTACCTACCCCTACCTACCTACCTACCCCTACCTACCTACCTACCTACCTACCCCTACCTACCTACCTACCTACCTACCCCTACCTACCTACCTACCTACCTACCCCTACCTACCTACCTACCTACCCACCTATCTCTCCCTTTCTTTCTATAAAAATCCATAATTTTTTTTAAATGAGTGTAATTTTCTTCTCTCAAATGAGTTTTTGGTATGCTGCTGCTAAAAAACAAAATCTTGAGGAAGCTGGGAAGTGAGTAGAGGGTATGGTAATAATGCAATATCCTTTAAAACAAACCTTGCTGGCCGGATATCTTACTCTCTGACCCTTTTTTAGCTTTTTAAGAGCTCCTACCACGCAGTGTTTCTGACCATGATGAAAGAGCAGGCTGTGCACCACGGACCGCAAGAGGATGTTGAGATCCCCCTGACCGGCCAACTGGAGAGTGAAACCAGAAAGAAACTGAGAAGTCTGTAAGTGGCTGGAGAGATCGAGGTATTGGTCAGTGGGTTCAGGAAGGCTAAAGGTAGCAGTAGGGAAATGTAAATTGGGCCCTCCAGAGAAAAGAGCAAGGCCAGTGCCTCTTCAAAAAGCAGGCACTCGACAGGCACAAGGACAAGGAAATCGACAAGCAATGGCCAGCCCTCTCTTTAGAGTGGAGAATGACGAAGATGTGGCTGGCACCAAGCCTTTCTAATTGGCATGACCCCAGGCACAAAATGTTCCAGGTCCCCACTGTACATCCACCCCGTGCTGCACTTCCACGCACCCGGCTGTCACAAACCTTGGTGAGCACGTTGTCTTTAGGCCTCCCGTGCGTCTGTCACAAACTCTCTGGCAGTGGCACCAAGGAACAGGCTGTGAGGGTTGGGGTGTCCTGTATGATCTCCTTCGCGAGTCGGAGGAGATTTTTTTTTTTCCTTTTTTTTTTTTTTTTTTAACAAAAATCAGGAAGAGAGATTTCCAGCAACTTCAGCTTTGGATTCAGTAGTGTCTTAGGACCAGAGACCTCTGAGGTTTCTCTAGGAAAGGAGAAAAGCAAACATCCAAACTTTCAACTTAACTTATACAACTGCACAAACAAATGCCAGAAAACATCCCAAAAGTTATTCTGCCTCATATATGACATTCTACCCCCATTCCTCCCCACTTAAGCTTATTGCCGGTGCTCATTCTAATCTGATTGCACTCAACAAATATTTCCTGAGCACCTATTCTGTGCTGATCTGTGTGTTGATCTTTACAGTAATGTGTACCCGAGAGCCTCTGCCATTGAGGAGCTACCTGGTAAGATTCCACTAGCTTGCAAAGGTGAACAAAGAAGGGCATTGGGTGCCTCTATCTGGACCCCTCGCTGGAGTTTTAACTCTTGCATATACTAACTTGTATTTGGCATCCTCTTGTGGCCTGTGAAATAGGTCTCACCCCACCCACCCCTCGGTCCTCAACCTCTCATAGGTAAGGGTAGGCTAGGTAACTGCTTCCATTCAAAGTGCTAGCAAATAAAACATTTGGTATAAATGGCCATGAAGAGCTCATCCTCAAGTTCCGTTATTGCTTTTAAAGCACAAGTGGTAAACCTTAGCTATCTGCCACGTGAACTCATCCAGCCCTTCCCAGCAATTTGCTTCCTGGGTTGAATTATCATGCAATCTTTAAGGAATCTAAACTAAAAACTTAACATCTGTCGTGTCAAAGGCCTTCTTCCAGGTCTAATTAAACTGGGACACTCACTCCTGACACATTCCCTTTCAAAAATATTCTGATCTGAGAACAAGGAAACACAGCTACCCCTGGAGGTCCATTTACTTGGAAGGACAATAGCCCAAGCCATTGACATGCCAGGATGGCTTGTGTATTGACAGGAGAGGGCCTTAGGGCTTGAGTATTTTGAAAAGCTGTGCCTTGGTGTGGCTTTCCCAGCCAGTCATTCTGAAGGGATTACTGAAAAATCTTACTACTAAATGCGAAGAGTTACCAATGGCACAAACAATGCTGTTTTCCCATGCTGTTTCCAACTGTAACGTTCACTGGGATATGTACAAAATACGGAAAAATCAAGCTGATTGAGCTTGATTTCTATATGCTTAACTTACAGAGTCAGCCTGGCATTTCTGCTCTGTCCCTGCCCCCAAGCTGATCCTCATTAAATTTATTTTTTAAAGTTTGAGGGTCAGCCCAGGCACCCAGGTTGAAGGCCAAATAGAGGCAAGGAAAGAAGCACCAAGCCCATGCCATGTGTGGTCCCTTTATTCCTCGGCTCTGATTGGAAGAATAGCTGGGTCCGAAGGAGCCATCAGCCCCACATTCCACCGATGAAAAGGACTTGGGAGGTCCTGGCACTGGCTCATTGTGTAGTGTGACATATAGACAGGAATTTAGTCCCCATTTTTTAAAGATAATTCACATTCCTTTCAGGATGAAGACCAACATTGAAAAGTACAAGGAAGTAATTCACTGGATTATGGAGAAACGTGGATGTAAGGAATTCTCTACCATTTTCCATTTGTGACTGGCTCTCCTATGTGCATTTCACTGCCTCTCACCTTCTGCCACAAGGAGGCAGAAGTTGCTCATTCCCTCATTTGAGCACCTACTGGTCTATTGAGGTCCTCGCTGCCAGGGATAACATATGGAGAAAGATGGGCACAGTCTGGGATCTCAGTGGGGTTATGCTTTGGTGGTGGGGAGCGGGTTGGCGGGGGTGGTGAAGATAGATGAGCAAGCAGGAAATTCACATGTAGCTGGTTAAGTGATATGGTGGGGAGGGGTGCTATGAGACCACACAGAAATGGATATAACCTAGATTTGGGAAGGTCCAATAAGTCATTATTAACATAAACTTTGGGAAAGAAACAGCCCTTTTACCATATACTGAAGGCATGTGTGGCCCAGCATTTAAGATTTAACAATCACAGAGCTTGCCAGTTTTTGTAGTCTAATCATGGAAAGCTTGAGCCAAGAGCTTAAGCTCCAAGGCAATTATCTAATTCAGAAACTCAAAACCACCATATGGAATATCTTTCAAATTACCAGATCCAACTAACATAGAAATGGCAATGATAACAATGTCAAACAAAGGAATCAAGCGTGGTCTTTTTCTCACTGAGCCAGGACACAGCCTCACATTCTCTCTTCAGGCAGTGCTCCCGTTCCCCAATACCTGTTTAGCCCCTGACCTAACTCGTACAAAATAACTGCTATGGGCTAGGCACTGTCACATATGTTACCTGTTCAAATTACTTTTCATAGTCATGTGAAGTATCTTGAAGAAAGTAAAGCTCAGAGAGGCTAAGGGACTGGCCTAAGATCACCCAGTCATTGTGTGAACATGAGCCACACTCGTGTCCAAAAGCTCTCAGGCCACATTCAAGGCTCATCCTGTTGGCATGCTCAATGTGTCTAGAGCAGAAAAGTGGGGGCCTTCTAAGTCTAGGTTTCATGTGGAGTGACTGAACCCCAGCATGGGAAATCTGGGGTAGGGAGAAGGAGGAATTGGCACCTTCAGTCTCTATAGTGGAAGGACCCTGTCTGCCACCAAGACTTACACAATGGGTTAGCCCCACGCAGGGCAGGTTTAACATGCAAGTCTTATATTAGTCAGGCAGTAAGACAATCTGATCTCCATATCCGAAGATTGAATTGTAAAAAGCGGCCTTACCTGGGTCGGCCACGGATTCAGATCCTTGAGATGCAGCTCCAGCTGTGAGAACGGTGGGCAGAGATCTCATTCTAAGGACGGGGGGGGGGGGGGGGGGGGGGGGGGGGGGAGGAACTTTGGTGGGGGCGACCTTTGGTGGTCCAGGTGCAGCTCCCAGGTCAATCAGCAGTAACAGCCTCTCAATGACCTCCTCCAACATTGTGTTGATGACAAGGGATAACTAAGCTCTCTTAACCAACCACCCCTAACCTAGTTGTGGAGGGAAACCAGTGAAGAGCTTCCCAGCTGATAGTGGGGGAGAAGCTCCTCCCCACTGCTCCAGCCAAAGCTGTGCTCACCAGCTGTCACTTGGAACAGGGATTGTTCAGCTGTCCTTACTAGTTTGGTTCCATTTTTTCAGTTGGGGGGGAAAAATGGACAAAATGAAAATAAAAAGTAACTTCTTGTTGCTAAGAAAACTAATGCTTTAAGAATTTAAATTGTGCTTTGAATGCTTCGAGAGGGCCCAATAAAAAAATAGCTTTAAAAAAAAAAAAAGTGCTTGGAACTAGATATGCACCATATATAAAAGATTGGATAATACATAGAAATGTTTTTAAAACTCTGTAATTCTGTGCTTAGACTATTTAGAATTTTCCAAAATTGAAAATTAAATGTAATCAATTATGAGTGTGGTTTGAGCAAAAATGGTCACAGAATCCAACATGAGACCCACACACCAAGTAAAGATTTTGCCCTACATTAGAGTGTTAATATATATTTATTTTTTAAGTTCAAATAATATGTTTAAGTTATGTTTTCTTTTGTAATGACTCTCCACTTTAGCCTATTTTTTAATTAATTGAGTTAGCAGCCATGCTTGTTATTGTCCTGGGGCTGGTGTGTCACCTCTCACTTCCTCAGTCTGGGCTGGATGGGCTTCAGATGGTGTCTGGCATCTAGCACTGGGCTGGCACATTGCAGGCCTTTGGTAGACAGGTGTTAAATGAATAAATAAATAAATGAAAGTTCAAAATTCAACCCAGCTCTCTCTTCTTGCTCTTTCTTGTAGCCTTTCTAACATGGGAGAATATGGCTCATGGCCCAAACCCCCAAATTCTCTTGAGAAATAGATCTATGTTTTCTTTCTCTTTTCTACCAAAGACATACCCCCCAGCAGACATTCAGATGCGGTTACTCACACGTTTCATTTATTGAGCCACGCACCACCAACTGAGGAGCCCAATATAGAAGGAAGAAAACCCCTTTTTGTTACTCGTCGTAAAAAGGAATTTGATACAAAAATACATATAGAGAGTGTAAAGAGCAAACCTAAGGTAAGTATGGCAGTGGTATTTTTACTTTGTTCAGGTTTTAAGGCTCAGGTGGGATACTCACATCATCTGGGAGCTGTCAAAACCAATACACAATGTGAATACCAACAAGAAATATGTGTTCAACATATGGAGGCACATTGTGGGTTATCACAAATTGACTAGGACTTTTACTAGGAGACTTATTGAGACTCTTCTCCCTAAGGGACTGATATTTGGCAGTTAGATGAGGTTGGGGAAGGAGTAAAGAAAATATATGTTATAATATATAGGTCTCTCTCCTAATAAAGTTTAAATCCATGTTAAAAAAAAGTAATTACATAGTAAATGGATAAACTGTAGTACATCCAAATAATGAAATATAATTCAGTTATAAAAGAAATGAACTATCAAGCCATAGAAAGACATGAAGGAGTCCTAAATTCATATTACTGTGTTAAGGAAGCCAATCTGAAAAGACTAAATACTGTATAATTTCAACTACATACAGTATCATTTTATCTTTGAACATGGTGGGGATTAGAGGCACCGATGTGCTGTGCAGTTGAAAATCAAGTATAACTTGAATCAGCCCTCTGCATACACGATTCTTAACTGAAGGCCAAAAATACAGCTGACCCTTGAACAACATAAGTTTGCACTGCATGGGTCTACTTAGATATAATGAGAGGGTCTTCACAGTTCAAACCCATGTTGTTCAAGGGTCAGCTGTATGACATCTGGAAAAGGCACAACCATGGGGACAATAAAAAGATCAGTGGTTGCCAGGGGCTTGGGAGAAGACAGGAATGAATAAAGGCAGCACAGAGGAGTTTTAGGCAGTGAAAATACTCTGAATGATGCCATAAGTGAATATATGTCATTAGACATTTGTCTAAATCCATTGAAGGTCCAACATCAAGAGTAAACCCCAATGTAAACTATAGACTTCACATGATAATGACATACCAAAGCAGGTTCATTGACTATATGAATAGACCCTGAGGTGCAGATTGGTAACAGTGGTGGAGACTGTGTGTGTGTGTGTGTGTGTGTGTGTGTGTGTGTGTGTGTGTGTGTGATGGGGCAGGAGATACAGGAAATCTCTGTACTTTCTGCTCAGTTTTGCTGTGATCCACTCTAAAAATGAAGCCTTAAAAGAAAAAAAAATCAATCACATACCAGTATTTATGAAAATGGATACTATGAAGTTATAAGTGAAAACTAGCCTCAAAATATTGGTCATTTAAAGTGAGTTAATAATCAGGTCTGAAGCTCAAGAAGGAGGCATTGACGTGGGAATAGAAAGATGTGATAGACGTTATGTCTTCTGTAAATATCTACTGAGAATCTACTATGTCAGGCCCTCTTCTGGGTGTTGGAGATACAGGGGTAAGCAACACATCGCCCTTGTGCCCATAGAACTTCCATTCAGTTGAGGAGACAAACCAATATAAAAAATACTGTTCAGTGCGATGCCAGGTGTTGGTAGGTGCCATGGAGGCGGGGAAAAGTAGGGCAGCATAAGGGCCTCTTGAACTGAGAGAGGAGTTGCTCTAATACCTGCAGGACAATCTCAGAAATGCCCTTTGAGCCTAGGCATGCATGAAATGACGGAGTGAGCGTGAAAATACCTGGCGGAATGGCATGCTAACCAGAGCAAGCAAAGACAGCTGTGAGAGAGGAATAGGGAATGAGCCTGAGTGCCCAGATCAGGTAGAGCCATGTGGGTCATAGTAAGACTCTGGATTTTATCCTGGAATGAGGTGAAACCATTGGGAAGACTCGAGCAAAGGACAAACATCACCTGACTTAGTCTCTAGAAGAATCTTTCTGGCAGTTGTGTGGAGAATACATTTAAGGGACAAGAATAAAAGCAGGAAGTCCAATTGTGAGGCAGGGCATAAGCTCGGGTGAGAGGTGATGGGCATCTCTACTAAGCGGTGGCAGTAAGGATGGTGGAAAGTAGTCTGATTTGGGATATTTTTTGAAGGGAGAACCAAGAGATCTTCCTGCTGAATTGGAAGTGAGGTGTGAGAGAAAGAGAAGACAAAAAAATGAATCTAAGAATTTTGGCAAGAGCAACTCAGTAAATGTTATTTTATCACTTACTAAATTGGAGAGCATAACAGAAACTAACCTTTATGTAACACCATGCAGGTTATAAAGCACTTCCACATATAATGTAAATGTAGCTTTTCCCAACAATTCCTGTGTGGTGTGTGTTATTATCATCCTCACTTTACAGTTGAAGAAAGTGAGGCCCAGAGGAACATACATGACTGTCTCAGGACACTGAGCCCATGTTGGTCAAGGCAATGCTCATTAGCTGCTGAAACATATGATTGATTCCCAAGGTTCTCACTCATGTCACATCTCATCTGAGTCCCCCAGCTCTCTGAGCAGCCCTCCGAGAGGCTGGCTCTGGGGGACCTGCATCCTTTCTTCATGGGTCTCCACCATGCTGGAGTTCTTTGTGTCCAGTTGCATGGACAGGAAGTGAGCCAAGGTCCAGGCTTAAATTTCATTAACCAAAGTGAGTCACATGACCTCACCTAGATGCAAGAAGGCTGGGAAATAATACTGCTGTGCGTCCAGCAGAAAATGAAAACGCTTTTTACTAAAAGGAAAAATAATAACATCCTCAAGTAATGAGGGTAAAATCGTAAGAGCCAGAAACTGACCCTGTCGGCCCAGGTGTGGACACTCCTGGCCTCCCTTCATCTCTTGGGCCCACAGGTAGAAAGGAGGTCGGTGGAACAGTCAGAACCTCTACAGACAGAGAAATTAAGGGAGAGCAGGGGACTCTTCAGGTTGGAGGCCCTAAGAGAAGCCTCAGTTTTCACATTTCCCTGGCCTCACCTCCAATCCATTAATGAAACCTTCCTTGGTGTCTTGCTCCAGCCAGGCTAGTGAACTCCTGCCCTGTCCTGTCTTGGAGCTTTGGGTCCTGCAGTGTCTGTCCCCCAAGTAAACTTAAACGTGCTCCCTGTAGCCAAGAGGAAGGTCCTCACCAAGATCTCTCAGCAGAGGATCCTACCTCATTTATCATTCACATCAGACTGCCCAAACTGGCCATGAGGAGGGGGACATTTGGTTGTTTTTGTTTTACAAATGGCAGTACGTTTGGAGGAGTCTGCTGAGTCAGGCAGAGCACTGCTTATGTGTGCACTGGGGTTCCAGCAGAACCAGCCCGGCCAGCCCGGAGCCAGGGTCTCCAAGGCAGTCAGGGAGAGGTCATGGACAGAGAGCAGCAGAGCAAGCTCACAGACAGCAGCTGCTCACAGCACAGACGCCTGCCTCTGAGGCACCGTTTTTTTTCTCTGGAAGAACTATAGGAAGGTCCAGAGGTGTGGTATCTTACCTTTTAGCTCTTAGCCTCATACTCTGTTCCCAAGAAAATAGTGATGGGATGTAGGCTTTTAGATATGCCACTTACTTCACAGAGATGCACTGTACAACAATGCAACATGTTTGTGGTGATGCCAAGGTAAGCAAACATACTGCACAGCCAGTCATATAAAAGTACAGCACATTCAGTTATAGAAATAGGCTAAACCACTTCTGGCTGTGTGTGTGCACTCTGAGACGTTTCCACAACGATGCAAGCACCAAAAGATGCTGTTTCTCAGAACATGTGCCTGTCGTTAAGTGACACATGATGATCTCCTGGTGAGAGAAAATGGAAGGACTTTACCTCTGTGTCAGAGATTTTGCTTTGTCCATGGGGTCCTCACTGTCAGGAAAGTGTCATTACATGACAAGTGAGTTTGACAAGCAAAAAGCATCTTGAGGAAATCTGGCTTTCAGGTGGCTTTTGAAAATAAGACCTAAAATACAAATATTCTCTCCCATGAGCAATCTATTAATAGAAGCTTTTTACAGACCATCAGCAACAAACCATAGGTATTGTTGTAAGGCAATTTTTAGGTTAAAAAAAAAAGAGAGAGAGCATTAATTTATAAACTAAATGTGAGAGGTGCCTGGGAGCCTCGGGGTCAGAGGCAGCCTGTTTGCACTAAGGAGCCTGCAGGTTAGCGGGAGGGGCTCTCCTCTCTCCTCCCACCGGTAACTCAGAGGAAGTCGTCAGCCTTCCGGAGCAATGACAGTGCCAGTTGTGTGGGGTCGCTGTGTTGTGGACGTGAAGTGTTTACTGCAGCGCCAGGTGTGGGGACAGAGTCCGTTCCAGGACCTTCTAGCCTCCCGGAGTGCTCTTTGCCCAGATGCCCAGGGTCTGAGCCACAGAGAGAACGCTTACAGCCACCCCCAAATAGCTGCCTTTCTTTCTTTTCTTGTCTTAGATGTTGGGCATTCTGCTGCAAGCTTTCTTATTTTCCTTCTTTATTTTATTTTATCTTCATCTCCACCCATCCCTCTCACCCCTACAATCACCACACTGATGTCCTTCTCCAGGAGTTCTTCCTCTATTTTTTTTTTTTTCTTTTTTGCCTCAATCCCTCCACCACCAGCCCCAACACCACCCCCACCAGCGCTGTCTGCCGGCTACCTATGAGTCTGTCTCTATTTTGCTTGGTAGTTCAGTTTGTTCATTAAATTTCACATTATGAGTGAAACCACATGATACTTGTCCTTCTCTGATTGGCTTATTTCACTTAGCATGATGTTCTCCAGGTCCATCAATGCTGTCGCAAAGAATAAAATTTTCTTCCTTTATATTCCCAAGTAGCGTTCCATTGTGTATGGTAAATGTACCATAGCTGTTTTACCCGCTCATCTACTGTTGGATCCAAATCTTGGCTATTGTAGATAATGCTGCAATGAACATAGAGGTACATCTATTCTTTCAAATTAGTGTTTCGGGTTTTTTTGGATAAATTCCCAGAAGTGGAATTTCTGATTCATAAGGCAGTTGTATTTTTAATTTTTTGAGGTCTCTCCATACTAGTTTCCACAATTCTTCTTTGAAAGTTTATAAAACTCCCCAGTGAAACTGTCCAGACTATAGTTTTTGTTTGTTGGGAGTTTTTTATTGCTGCTTCAATTTCATCAGTTATTATTGGCCT